GGGCTCAGGGGCCTACCAAGCCTGGGACACGGACAGGTGGGAGGCCCCAATGGCCATCTGTGACCCAGATCTGGTTCCCGCTGAGGCACCCCCAGTGCCGGCGCCCTCAGGACACAAGTGGCCGAAACCTCCTGTTTCTGCACAGAGACTTTGCTTTAAAGGGAGCTCCAGCCTCTGGCTCGCTTCCTCTCGGCGAGGGGTGCCCACTGTTCCCGTGGAAGTCTCCGTACTCCTTCCCAGTGTGACTGACCTTCCCACCCAACCTCCTGCAGAGACAGGGGCTCCCCCTGTGGCAAGCGGCCGCTACCTCCAGCTGCCTCCTGAAGAGCAGCCCATCCAGAGTCTGCTGCGTCTCCCAGGCCTCCAGCTCTGCCCGCCGCCGCAGGAGGGCCAATGCCCGCTTCTGCTGGTCCAGCTGCAGGGAGAACCCAAGCTCATGGTTCCTGCTGCCCCCAGCCAGGGAGGGTGGGCCCCTTCCTCGGGGGTGACCCCGAGGAATCCTATGTCTGGGCAGGACCCCTCCCTCCAGCCCACCGACTTTCTCTCCCTGCCAGGGGCTTCCCCATCAGCCCGGGAAGCCCCTCCGTCTGTTCCTGCCACCTGCATGGTCCCCTCCCTCTCACCCGGCCACCCTGTTTCTAAATTCTATAGTCTGTGCATTACAGCCTCTTCCACTCGGCCTCTGGGAGACAGAGGCTGCCCCCGGCTCACCACCCAGCAGAAAGGGGACCCAGCTGTCGTCGGCCTGGGGCAAACCTTCAGAGAATCCAGAAAGCTGGAGGTCTTCCGCTGGGTGCTGGGAAGGTGTCTCGCACACGGGTCCTCCTGCTGACCTGTGGAACAACGGAGGGGGGCAGCTGAGTGGCCCAGGCCACTCTCCAGGCCTCCCCTCGCCGCTGCCTCGGTGCACCATGGCACAGCGGGTTAACACAGCCTCTGCACCTGTGGGGAAACTGAGGCATGGAGGCCAGGAGTGCAGGCGGCCTGACTCCTGAGCCCAGCTGGCATCAACTCCATCAAGAGCAGCCCCTGCCCTGCATGTCAAGGAAGGGCTGGGAGGGCTGCAGCCCCACGGAAGGACACGGAGACCCGCTGTATCTCCTCGTCCCCGCTAAGGCTGGCTCTGCCTGACCCCGGCCAGGACCAATGCCCGGATGGATGGCAGGAGTCTGTGGGGAGGGTGGAGGTCCAGGTCCAGCATATGGGCTTTGTCCCTAGACAGACCGGGTCCGTCAAGCATTTGCCATGTGACCTTGAACAAATCCCTTGTCAGTCAGAGCCCAGTGGGGACACAGAGGTTCCTCCTTCCCTTGTGTGAGGGTCCAAGGAGATGGTTTGGTACAGGCTGGCTGTGCACTCAGCAGGTAGAAGCTGCTGCTGACGGTGTGGACAGGGTGGGAGGGTGATGACAGGGTGGGTGCGAACAGGGTGGGTGGGTGCTGACAGAGTGGGTGGGTGCTGAGGGGGTAAGTGGGTACAGACAGGGTGGG